AATTAAATACATAGAATAACTAGTGTCTCTGAAGTTACATAAGAGATGAACACAACAGGATAGGAAGGTGCATATTGTGTGGTAAATATTTCATGGAAGATACCTTTCGGGATTTAGAATTGGTTCTGCAGGGTAGTTGTTGATTCTGTGTGGAATAATATTCTCTAGTCATTGGCCATGAGCCTAGGGGTGCTTTTGACCTTTTCGTAACCTTGATGCCAAGTATTTCCATTCTGAGAGTGCTTAACCTGCTGCCTAATAGTGTTACTTTTGCTGCCATTGAGGAAGTCAAGGGCTAATTAGATGACTTCAGATATCCCAGGTATATTATATTACCTAAGCCAAAGGACTGGTTTTTGTCCTGCCTCTAAACTTGGAAAAAAATGGGGGCAGGGGTAAAGAAGCCTTCCTTAAAAAAAAAAAAAAAAAAAAAGGGCTAAAAAAAGGTATTGTGGCACTTTAAAGACTAACAGATTTATTCTGGTACAAGCTTTTTAGATTTGAGCTTGCTTTGTCAAGATACATGAAGTGTTATCCTCAGTTGGCAGATGATATATACACACATGAGTACGAACAGAGAAAATTGTAAACAGTGAGGTCTGTGACATTTCTGTGCAAAGCTCAAATGTATACAAATTCAGATGTATATTCTTTGCACAGAAATGTCACAGACTTCTTGAATTTCATGCCCTTTTGAACCTACTGTTTACAATTTTTCCCTCTTTACCTGTGTGTATGCACAAGAGTCTTCATTGTGTTTTCCTGCAACAGACTTGTGTGTCTATAAAACATTGGTAACATTGTATGTTTTTAGCAATATAGAATTGATTTTGTAGAAATGTCCTAAGTGAAAAAAACTTGAACTTCCAATTACTTTTCTGTAATAATCTTGAATATGAAATGTATGTGAACATCAATGCTGTTTATTGTTACTGCTAAATAAGGTATCTTTGCAGCCCAATCTTGTGCATGTTTACTTGAAAGTAAGTTTTCTTGAATTCAGTGGAATTCGCTCCCATGAAAGAATGTGTAGGATTACAGCCAGAAGTGCACAGTATGAGAGAAATTTTCTGCTGTTTGCTTGAGTAAATCTGTTGAACAGCTGCTGCCTGCTCTTTAAGTTTAATTGAAAAAAAGTGTGTTTGCTTTTAAAGCTTTAGGAAAGTGTGATCATTGCTAATGGTTCCCACTCAGAAAATGTTCTGCCTCTAAGTGTGGTTTTTATTTAATCAAGATAAGCAAGCCATGTCATATGGCATCTAGCTTTCCAAATTGTGTAATAAATTGTGACTTTGTTCTGTTGTGTAATATGGTATACTAAACAGCACATAGGTAAGAAGTGAGTGGTTTGAGCCTGTGCTTCTAGAAAAGATATTGTGATGCATGTAATCTGATACTTGAGAAATGAGGTAGTCTCATTGACTTGATCCCACTTATCATTTAAAGTGACATTCTAACAATGCATCTCTCTCTAAGGCTGCCACTTATTGAACAAAGAAGGATTTCAGAATAAACATACCTAGTTGAGGCTGGGACACAGCATGAGAAGGCAAGTCTCATTGGAAAAGACAATTATACTGGGGAAAGTTGAAGGAAAAAGAATAAAAGGAACATCAAATAATAGAAGGAAACTACAACTTTGAATTTAGAACAGCTAAGCAGGGGTGTCACAGACAGGACATTTTGGAGGGCTTTCATTCAAAAGGTTGCCATAAGTTGGAGATGACTTGATGACACATAACAGCAGCAAAAGATGCTGCATGTGCTGTAATACACAGAAGGGTATGCCTATTTTTATTTGAGTGCTGCTTTTATCAGAATGTGAACTGAAAAATCATCTAGGTACATGGAAGGGAGTCTGAGAAATTAGACCAGATAGTGACAAAATATAAAAGTATCTCAACTTGACAAACTGAAAGTCAACAAGTCACCCAGTCCAAATGGGGTCCACCTTAGAGTTATCAAAGAGCTCAAGCCTGAAATTGCTGACCTTCTTACCAAAATATTTAACATGTCCCTAAAATTAGCTCTTGTACCAGAAGATTGGAGAATGGCCAATTCAACACCAGTTTTTAAAAAGGGAACTGAGGGGATCTGGGAAATTACAGGCCAATAGTTTAATATTTGTTTTGGGTAAACTGCTTGCAAGCACTATTAAAGAGAAAATCAGTAATCACAAAGAGGGATAAGCTCTGCTGAAAAAAAATCAGTTTGGCTTCCACAAAGGGCAGTCTTGTTTCACAGACCTACTGGAGTTCTTTGAGAGTGTCAGCACATAGACAGGGGTGATCCAGTAGATATTGCTTACTTGGACTTCTAAGAGGCTTTTGACAAAGTCCCTCATCAAAGGCTCCTGACCAAACTAAGTAAACTCGTGGAATAAAAAGAGTGAGGAACCCCATGGATCACTAAATGGTTAAAGAACAGAAAACAGAGGGTGGGAATAAATGTTGATTACTCCCAGTGGAGAGATGTCACCAGTGGAGTCCCACAGGGTTCTATATTAGGACCAGTGCTTTTCAACATATTCCTAAATTCTGGAATTAGGAGTAAGTATTGAAGTGGCCAAGTTTGCTGGTGACACTAAACTTTTTGGGGTGATTAATAAAACCCAAAAGGATTGTGAGGCACTCCAGTGGATCTCTCCAAGCTGGGAAAATGGACATCAAAATGGCAAGAATAAGCAAGTGTAGAGAAATGCATGTTGGGGCAAAAAAATCCCAACTTCATGTATATACTGATGGGATCTAAACTAACAGTTGTGGAACAAGAAAAGGATCTTTGGGTAGAGGTGGATAACTCAGTGAAAATGTTGGCCTGGTACTCAGCTGCTGTGAAGAAGACAAACTCCATATTAGGCATAATTAGGAGCAGAATAGAAAATCGTATCTTACTTCCCTTATAAAAATCTTTGATGCGACCACACTTGGAATATTGTGTAGTTCTGGTTACCTTATCTGAAAAAGGACATTATTGAGTTTGAAAAAGTACAGAGAAGAGCAACAAATGATCAGGGGTCTGGAGCAACTCCCTCAAAATGTTTTGGAGATCACATCTTGAGTACATGTACTCCTCGGAACATATCAGTTTTTCAAATTTTAAATTATTTTGCCTTGTTTATCTAGTCTTTTCTTTGTTAATTTAAAATATATAATTAAACATGTTAATATAAGGATCCTTTGTGATTCTCCAAATTCTTGATTTGTTTTAAAAACTATGTGTTTTATTAGTTACCATTATCTGAATATACTTAACAATATTCCTTTTTCAGTTCATAGGTTAATAACTGGTAGATGACTATACTTCGCTATATAATACCTTTAAAAAAGCAGCCATGCTTTGAATATTCATGGGTTTTAACTTCTGAACTAGTTTGCAAGAGTCTGTCCCCATTTTTTTCTACTGCTTCCTATTCTTTAACTGGATACAAATTTATATCCCAATATTTTTAATGTAAAAGTAAGTCAAAACTGGATAAGGAGAGATGTCATTCTATGAATAAATAACAAAGGAGCAGTGGGACTTTTACCCTCCACCCATGAGTTTGTACTGGAACTGATGCTGTTTACTTTGTTAAAAAATATAATGTCAACAAGTAAGCAGTGAGGAAGCTAAGCTTGCAGATGACACCCTATTACTTGGGATGGTGAGAGCCCAGCCAGACTCTGAAAGGCTCCCAAAGGCTCAGTCCAAATTGTGGGGAAATGAGATGGACTGTAGGAAAGTGAAAATCAATTTAAAAGTGGGGGCTAAAATTCCTGACTTCATATTTGTAATGATGGAGTCTGAATAGTATGTGATATTCTAGAAAGGAAATCTTTAGGACATATCTATGCATGAATAAGTCCTGCAAAATTCAGTGAATCTTACTTTTAGGTAAATGTAAATAGGATTGTAACTTCACATATCGTAGTAGCAAAATACAACAACTCATGTTCAGTTTTAAAAGGATTTGATTTAAAAATAAAAATCTCAGTGTCGTAATTTCATTTTATAAATCTATAGGGTGGTCACATTTAATTTTTTCCTCTTCCCTTCACATCCTTTCTCCCTTGTTTGTCATGTAGTCTAAGATTCCTTGGGGCAGGAACTACCTTCTTTTAGGGATTGAATGTAAGCTGGACTGGAATCTGTTCTTCCCAAAAAGTCACACAAAAACACTTTATATAAAATAAATATTGTATATAGTCCTGGTTGACCCATTTTTCAACAGATGCCACAGCTAGTGCATGGCAGTCATTACTGAAATTTGTTAGTATATCGTTGTGTGTGCGAGAGAGAGAAAATGAACTTATAGTTCTCTCCTTACTATGCATATATTTATAAACTGAGTAGCAGCAGTTTCAGAATAAACAAAGGAAGTACTATTTCACATAGCCAGGAACACAGATTTGTTCACCATGTTAAGCACTCCCCCTAACCCTTTTTAGTGAACCTAAGAAGTCCTGTTCTTTACCTGACCTTTGACTTAGAGAGGTAAATATGATAATTTTGCTAAAGTAACATTGGGCTTCAGGGATATTAAAAGCATGATGTCAGTTTAATATAGTATCGGAGACAAGATTATGATCCTTCCCCAGATTAGCAGGGAATGCAGATTCATGATGATGTAATCTTTCACTGGCTAGTCAAAATTTGTCATGCACAAAGTTATGAAAGCTATGGAGTGTAGGAATGTTTATTTGTTTGAAAAGAAATTATATTCTATTATTCCAGTACATAGAGTTCCACAGTCTAGGCAAAGCCACAAAGAAGGCCCTCTTCCACATCTCAAGTAGTTGTCATTTATTTATTTGATTTCTATCCTGCCTTTTTTTAAAGAACTCAAACCAGCTTACATAATTTTTCTCCTCCTGGTCTCAGACATATCCCCACAACAACAACCCTGTGAGGTAGGTTGGGCTGAGAGTCTGTAACTGGCCCAAAGTCCCCCAGTTGGCTCCATGGCTGAGCAGAGACTAGAACCAACTTGCACACCATTCAGATACAAAGAGCTTTCCCAGTTGCAGGCTGGTATAGGAGCAGCGATTCATTAGATATCCTGAACTGAAATTATTTGAGGTTTCAAGGCTAATTGTCAACACAGAACTGTGTCTAGAAATGAATCAACAAAAAGTGCAGCTGGAGTAGAATATGTATAACATACTCCCATGGGCATGTATCCTATTTGCATCCTTGTCACATTGTAGACCAGGTGAAATTTTGGGAAGGAAGATCCTTCAGTAGATACAGAGAAAACCAGATGGTTGGGGAAATCAGCCTAATTCTAGGCTCTGGTGCATAAAGCTAAGGTGCACACATATGCTAACAATCTGGAGTGATGTAGGATGGGGCAGTGAGGCTGAAATGATTAGGTAGTTGAGATCATGTAAATCAGAGTCCCTAAGACTCCTGAAGGGTGTGGGAGAGAAATGCTTGAGGGGGGTGAGTTGTGAGGACAAATATGTTTTTTGAGAGAGATGTCCTTACAAGGGCAGCACAGTTAGGGTGATGTATGCTCATAGTAATGATGGGGAGGACGATTAGGGGTGAAAATATATTCACTCTATAGTGCTTTGTGTTCTTTCTCTAAAGGTCCACAGCTTTGGTAGACATTACCAACGTAATAGGAATTTCAGTCTTTCTCTAGGTGACTAGCGAAACTTGTACTAGCTAGTTTGGATTTCAACCAAATATTATGTAGCTGATGTTTGGAGCATGTTACAATTCCTGGGTCTTAGTAGTTGAAGGAAAACTATGTTTTCGAAAAGAAACTAAAGCAGTCAGGCAAATTAATGATATTCTTCGTGACTGGGGTAGCAAAGAAATCAAGGTGTATTTCAGTAGTGTGAACTCAGATGGCACTGGTCCAACAGTCACAAATGGAAACAAACTGATAAGAGGCACCGTTTTTTTATTTCTGCCAAAAGGAGCCTTCCTAGGGTGACCACCATTTGATTTCATCAACATTGGACTGGCCTTAGGAAGAATGGAGCTCCCCTGTTTTAAGAAAAAAAAAAATAGAAGGAACTAAAGAATATCATACATGGCATGACTACAGTACAAAGAGGAAATGACTCCCAGGTGGTGCCTTCAATAGCTGTTCCAAGTGGAACCAAAGAGATTTTGAAAACTCCTTCCCAGAGCCACTTCATATGTAAAAGAGGGCAGTATTGAGATGGGTACAGAGCCTACAGCTATTTGGAGAGTAGATTCTTTTTGTAACACTGAAATTATTTCAGTATGTTCCTAGAGATTGGTTTAATCATGCATTGGGAAATCACTTTGGGCTAGCAAATGCATACATAATTACATTAGCATTTTGTGTATCTTAGGTTTATTGAATATTTGCAGTTCTGCTTAACGGGATAGTCCTAGATTTAACCTTGCATGCATGTCTATCAGGGGATTTTAACAAGATTACTTTACTTTTTTCTTGACTTCTGTAAGAATTTGTCCAAGTGACCACCTTTTTCTTTTGTCAGCTCTCAGGAGTCTACAATGCCTGCCCTAGTTCTGAGCACTCTGCTAACAAAAATATGGAATACAGGTCTGGGTTAGAAGCAGTGCATACCTAGGAATGCACAGACTGCCATAAACCCTTTATGGGAAAAGCTGTGAATATCTCTAGGGGTCTACATGATTCATTTGTTTGTGCATCACCAGTGGCTATATTGTTCCCTAGAGCAGCGGTTTCCAAACTATTTCAGTCATGGAACCTTTCTGTAGACTTTTTTTTTCCCACGGAACCCTAACTCTACCCCTAATTTTTACTAAGCATTGTGCTGCTATTGCCTGAGTACTTTGCATAATGCAGTAGGTTTGGAAATAAAGAGAAAACATTTTAAACAAATGAATAAAGCAATTATATGGTAATATCCCAAATGAATTTTTTCGCTAATTCCCAGAACTATGCAATAGAGTCTTAGGAATCAAATGACGTGATCCATTTTCTTGTTCATTGCTTCGACGCCAGTTGACAATCACATAGTTGGCCTTGAGTGGTGTCATTTTAAGTTTGATTTTTGAGATTTTTCATGGAACCCCTACAAGGCTTTTGCAGGACCCTTTGTGCTAGAACTAGTCGTGGCTATTTCTAGGGAATAAGCAATGCATCTTTCAGTGGCATTCAGACCCTAGACTCCAGTGGTAACTCCTCCCCCTTCTCCAGCAGCACAGTCAAACCCTGACTTCCCAGCACCAGATCCATCATCATCATCATCTAATGTTAAGCTTAAGATTAACTCAAGAATGTTCTAAACTTTAAGAACTGTTTCTTTCGTTTCTTACAATATTGTATACCTACACACACACATACAGATTCTTTCTCTCTATGCTGTACCAGTAGTTACTTTATTATTACTGTATTGTTGTTATTACAATGCTTTATTTTGTATAAGAAAGAAACAGCATTTCCATAGAAAGGTAAAAGACAAATATTTGGCTTACTCATGTGATCCAATTTACATACAAATTCAACTTAAAGAAGCCCTTATGAAAGGAACAGAACTCAGTCTTAATCTGTGGACTACTTGTACATTCCAGTAATTGGAAGGTATATGTCACCATGGCCACTTTAGATATTTCCAAGAACAGAATTAATTGGCATCTAAGCTGGGTTTATTCACCCAGCATGGTGAGACTTATAGGAAAACATGTAAAATTGGATTGTACTGGTATCAGCTTCTCTAAATCCATTGGAAAAGAGATGGACAAGAACCGAAATAGTATAAATTATCTGGGATTAAATTAGTTTACACCATTAAAGTAAGTAGTTATTACTACTGTAGCTAAGTGTTTACCTTGTCCATTAAGTGTTGCTTGCTTAAAAATTAAGTTATAAAATGTTTTTAATATTAGTACTGGCCATGAACACCACTGGAAGTTTTATGATTTTGCAATTACATAATCCAAAACACAGAAACATCTCCCCCGCACCCCATTTATTCAACAGTTGGCCTGAACAAAGAGGTGGCAGAGATAGTAAGACTTTGCAAAACAACAAGAAGTACAGGAGAAATAGCACTGACCCATTTTCTTTATCCATTGTAGAAAACTTGACTGTTACATATGAATCTGCCTTTTCCTGAATTAGGCTGCGCTACCCAAGTATCATCTTCTACGCTAACTAGCAGAAGCTGTTCAGATTGGCAAGAAGGGTTCCTCCTCAGTCCTGCCTGAAAATATCAGAAAATGATCTCCTCATGAAAAGTATGTGCTGTACCACTGAGCTATGGTCTCTTACCATAACCATGAAGTAGAAGGCACAAAAGAAATTCAGGAGTGATTTTTCAGGTAGCCCTCTCAAAAAGGTAAAGTTTCTAAGTAAAGTATTAATTATTCCTGTTGCTTCCTTTGCCAGGTTTAAAAGCAGATTTGGAAGATGAAAAGTATGTTTGTTAGAGGAATGGGGGAAAGGGAACCCCAACCCTTTTACCTTTTCAAAACATTTCTGAGCTTTTCTCCTCTTCACATTCTTTTAGAAATTGGGCGTTAAAGCCATTTGCAGTTAAATAATATCTCTGGCAATTACAGCCGTCACTGACCTGGAACAGCAGTATTAGAAAGTCATTTCTCTTCTGGAACTAAGTCCCTATACTGTTGTATACCACCCAGAGAGCTTCAGCTATGGGGTGGTATGGGAATGAAATAATTAGGAATAAGAACAAGCATAGCAGTGGTAGTAATGCCATCTTTCTCCTGGCAAAACAGAGCCAGCATGGCAGGTGTCAGCAACTCCAGCTTTTCTTTGACTAACTTATAATCAGATGATTGTGTTTCAAGCATATCAAGACTAACTGTTGCCACAGTAGCTAGCTGTCTTTTCCTGCTTTGCACAGCCCAACCAGGTGCACTAGTCACCTTTTTTTGTGGCAGAAAAAATGGGAAGTGTAGAGCAAGAGGGAGGGAAGGAGGGATTCTTGTCTAGAGATGAGAGGTGCTTTGAAGAGTAACTCATTTTTATAAATAGGACACAGCAAAGCTGCAGAGAAGCATATCACCATAGTATATCCACTCTGACTCAGATGCTATAGTTTATAATATATAATTCATACATAAGGTAAAGCTCCTATGGATGTGGGCAGGATTTCTGGAGAGGTGATATTAATCACATATCTGTTTTACCATTGCCATTTTTGGTTATAAAAACAGCTGGGGGTCTGGGCAAGTGAGTAAGGATAGCCCCCCTCAGCAGGTTGTGGTGCTATTTTTTTGTAAAGGACATGGAAATAGGACCTTAAAACAAAATATTTCCAAAATCCTGCTTTATTGGAGTATTTCCAGCTAGCCTACATTATTCTATCATTTGGTAATGTGTTGGAATGTGTAGTGGCATCTCAGCTCTTGGAGTTTCTGAATGATGCATATTATCCAGATACATTTCACTTCTCCTTCAGGCCTGGTCAAAGGTTGACTATGTGAGGAACTGGATAGGGTGAACATGTTGATGTTGATCTTCCTGGATTTCTGAGTGACTTTAAAACTGTTAGCCATGATCAATTTCTGAAATATATGTTAGGGAAAACTAAGCATTCTGGTTCTTCTCAAAGGTTTTGTTGAGGGCCTTTGGTGTCAGGGGTCCATCTTGACCCCCATTTTATTTAAGATATATATGAAACTGTTCAAGGAGAATGTCTGGAGTTTTGAGGTACAATGTATCAGTATGCTTTGGCCACCCGCCTATTGATTGTTCTTTTCCATCCAAATTTAAGGAAGCTTCTCTGTATGAGTGGCTGGTGTCTGTAATCCAGGCTGGATAGAAGTACTTTTGACTGGTTGAATGGTAGGTCAGGGAAGAAGAAACCAACTAGTGTTAGATAAAGTTACATTATCCTTGGAAACTCAGTTTCACACTTTGGATATTGCAGGGACCTGGCACCTGCAGGTAACTCCATCAGAAGACACAAAGACTGGTGCAGCAATGCCCAGTGGTATAGTTTGCCACCACTGCAAGCAAACCAAACTCAGTTTTCAAATGCTCTTAGCCCCTTGGGGCAACTGTGTAAGGATAAAGCGGGTTCCTTCATGTTGGGCTTCTTTGCAGCTCACCTCTGTCCTTAGCTGGCACAATTATGTTACAGATTGCTTCCATATCATAGCATTTAGTCTTGGTGTTGTCACAGAATACTGAGAGTCAGAAGGGTGGCATTCCTCTTATGCATGTCCCTCTCTCACCCTGCAAAGTATGCAAATGGCATTTTGGTGAAAACGAAAGATTTAATAAGGATTCAGAAATACAGAATGAATCAAAGCTTGGTCAGGTTCTGAGCACACAATAAGCAACTTAAAGAGGCAAATCAGTTTGAGTGACTAAGCAAAAGCCACTTGAAAGCAGCAAATTGGTGGTGGTTGTTGTTAGTCTTGAAGTTGTGTCCAACCCATCGCGACCCCATGGACAACATTCCTCCAGGCCTTCCTGCCCTCCACCATTCCCCAGAGTCCACTTAAGCTCTCGCCAACAGCTTCAGTGACTCCATCTAGCCACCTCATTCTCTGCCGTCCCCTTCTTCTTCTGCCTTCAGTTGTTCCCAGCATTAGGCTCTTCTCCAGTGAGTCCTTCCTTCTCATTAAGTGGCCAAAGTATTTGAGTTTCATCTTCAGTATCTTCTAAAGAGCGGTCAGGGTTGATCTCCTCTAGGACTGACCAGTTTGATCGCCTTGCAGTCCAAGGGACTCACAGGAGTCTTCTCCAGCACCACAATTCAAAGGCCTCAATTCTTAGGCGCTCAGCCTTCCTTATGGTCCAGCTTTCACAGCCATACTTTGCCACTGGGAAAACCATAGCCTTGACGATACGCACTTTTGTCAGCAGGGTAATGTCTGCTCTTTAGTATGCTGTCTAGATTTGCCATAGCTTTCCTCCCAAGGGAGCGTCTTTTAGTCTCTTGTCTGCGGTCCTCGTCTGTGGTGATCTTGGAGCCCAGGAAAATAAAATCTGTCACTACCTCCATTTCTTCCCCATCTGTTTCCCAGGAAGTGATAGGACCAGGTGCCATGATCTTAGGACAGTACCAAAAAGCAAATTGGTAGTAAAGAACAAAAAATAAAATACTCCCTAGTTGGCATAGCCCTGCACTAAGCTGCCAGTGTGGTTCCTTGAAGACCCATTATGTCCATGTCAGCAAATTTCTCTTGGTGCTGCTATCAGGCCTGCCTTCCTTTGATTGGAGAAAAGCTACACCTAAGCACCTTTACTAGAGAAACCTTGGGCAATTTCTCCAGGTTCTTCTCAAGCTCCTGGGACCTGCAGTAGAAGAGAAATGCTGCAAACTTCCTTTCTCAATAGAATCTATTTCCTCTAGACCTCCTCCCATCCCTGGGTGGAGATTTCAAAAGAATCTCTTATCTTTTGTGTGATGAGTAATAGCTCATCCCTAGCTCTGTGATGGAAGCTTGAAGATTCCTGTTTGGGCACCTGGCAACTTGGAATCTTTTTAATAAGTGGAAATGCTTGATGAGCTCAGCAAGGCCATCTTCACTGGAAAAGGGAGGTTTCTGTCTCTTGGACCTGGATAAGGTGGAATCATAACGGTCTGGCTGAGTGTGGCATTGTGGACTGAACAGGGACATACTGTGATTCATCTTTAAATTTGAATGGCTACTTTCTGTATCCCTGGAATATGTTTGCACATCTAAGGCTAAATGTATTCATTCATTACAATTATAATCTGTCTTCCCACCAAAAATTATTTCCACCTTCCTGAAGATGTTAGATTTTGCCATACCAAAACATACGCTGGTTACATCCTGTTTGGAGTACTATAGCATGCATTAGAAAAATATTTTGAAACCCCAGTTGCTCAGAATGCTACATCCAGATTATTGTCTTGCACTAGTTGCAGGGAACCTGTGATTTCCTTGTTAGAGCAGCTTTACTGACTGTTGAACCATATCTGTACACAATGTAAAGTTCTGATTATGAACTTCAAAGCCCAATGCAAGTTGTCCCATGCTGTTTCAAAGACTGTATTCACTCAGATCCTTGGGAAAAGGCCGCTTTCACAGTCCTGAGTATACTCAGGTACATTTGACAAGAATATGGTTGCTGTTTTCAGGCCTAGGAACTAACTGCCAAGGACAGTCAGGTTAATGTCATCTCTGTTGCCCTTTCACCAACAGGCAAATAGGTTTTTATTAGTCAAGCTTTGGGGTGACACACCAATGTGTTAGTGAAGTAGGTTTTAATTTAATGAGTACCTGTTGTTGTTGTGTTTGATTTTGGGATAATGTTTTTTATTTGATGACTTTTAATGTGATACTTGTTCTGTTTAAGTTTGTAGCTACTACGAGTGTTATTTTAATGGAATGGTGGTATATATTTTTAATAAATAAATACAATTTATCTTTCCCTTTTTTTTTTCTTTTTTGGTTCCTCCCACTTGTCTAGAAATAAAGCTTTTGTTCATGCATGGAAAACTTCCTGATCTTTCAAAGACTCTTTGGGTAGAAAATAGGATGAGAAGAGAAAATCAAAACTCAATAAGGAATGCATGTTATCTCTGGGCAGCCTAATGACAACATTGCAGCAACAGTCTGCTTAGTGAACACTGCAAGTTTTGTGAAATTTTCTACATGTAACTCATAACTCATGATTACTGTACTGTTGTCCAAAATACCATCCATACTGGTTGCAAACAGTTCCAAACAATTTAAAACATTTAAAAGCATTTGGAACAAAAAGTACCAATTACAAAAGCCAAGGTAAAAAGCAGTGTAAAAATGACAGAGCAGCAAACCTCTAGAATAGTCAGGTCAGATAAAATCAGACAGAACAGGCATGATAAAGGAGAGAGGAATATAGCAACTTGACCTTAGAAGACAGAACTTCTGTAATTGGAACAAGGGCTGATCAACAAACCCTAAATTAGAGATGGGTGGTGCAAAAAGTAAATACAGAAGGTTGTCTCAGGAATGATGGGCATCTGTGAGCTTCTGTTGGTTCAGTTAGACTTTGCCGCCCTTCTAGGCATTGTAATATATATTGTCTGGTATTATTAATTTCTGTGACTATATTTCCAACTATATTGCTTTACTAAAAGAACATTCTCAGATCATTTAAACAAATTAGGGTATGGTTAATACCTAAATAAAGATGATGATGATTGATGACATAAAATATTTTATTTTTATAGTTTTCTCAAGGTACATTTGACACCCCTACCCCAAAATGGATTGAGGTAGGCTTTCCCCCATCTTGTTGATGGAAGATTAAGCAAGATTCCCTTGCATTTTACTGTGGGTGTATTCCTATGACGAGTGGACACTGGCTGGCCATAGGGCAAAGCTTATTCCCTGTTGCACTTTCAGAAAA